CGTCCGGCCTGGGGCAGGGTCCCGGGAGGAAGGTGGGGCTGGGTGGGCTGAGTGCAGCCCTGTGACCGCCCCCGCCCGCTCTGTCCATCCTCAGCGGCGGTCCTGGAAGAATGCAGAGGACCGGATGGCTCTAGCCAACAAGCCACTGCGGCGCTTCAAGCAGGAACCGGAGGACGACCTGCCCGAGGCGCCCCCCAAGAGCAGGGAGAGCGACCACTCCCGCTCCAGCTCCCCCACAGCCGGACCCAGCACCGAGGGCGCCGAGGGCCCCGACGAGAAGAAGAGGGTGAAGGTGCGGCGGAAACGGCGGCTCCCCAACAAGGAGCTGAGCAAGGAGCTGAGCAAGGAGCTGAACCAGGAGATCCAGAAGACGGAGAGCAGCCTGGCCAGCGAGAACCACCAGCCCATCAAGTCGGAGCCCGAGAGTGAGAACGAGGAGCCCAAGCGGCCCCCGGGCCTCTGCGAGCGCCCCCACCGCTTCAGCAAGGGGCTCAATGGCACGACCCGGGAGCTGCGCCACCAGCTGGGGCCCGGCCTGCGCAGCCCCCCGCGAGTCATCTCGCGCCCCCCTCCCTCCGTGTCCCCGCCCAAGTGCATCCAGATGGAGCGACACGTGATCCGGCCGCCGCCCATCAGCCCCCCACCGGACTCGCTGCCCCTGGATGACGGGGCGGCCCACGTCATGCACAGGGAGGTGTGGATGGCCGTCTTCAGCTACCTCAGCCACCAAGACCTATGCGTCTGCATGCGGGTCTGCAGGACCTGGAACCGCTGGTGAGGGGGCACTGGCCCAGCTGGGGCCAGGAGTCCGGTGTCGGGCCCTGGGCTAAGTTTTAGGCTAGACCAGGGATGGCGGGTGGGTGGGCACGCCGGCCTCATTTGAGTCACACTGGTCTTGCGCCCCTAAGCCCAGTCCAGCTTAGTTACCCTCAAAGAGCTCAGGCAGCCACAGCCATCCTATATATAGGCCTGGACTTTTCAAAAGAGGTGAAACCTATTTGGTTTCCTGAGTTAGCTCGTTGGAACAGGAACTCAGGACCAGGTCCCTGTCCTTAAAAGTGTGAGCCCGGCCCTGACTGGTGTGGCTCAGTGGTTAGAGTGTTTGCCTGCACACCAGGGGGTCATTGGGTTTGATTCCTGGTCAAGGGTATGTACCTGGGCTGCAGGTTTTCCCTCCCCTCCGGGCCTCTGCAGGAGGCATCCAGTCCATGAATCTCTCTCACATCGATGTTTCTCTTTCTCCCCCTTCCTCCCTCTCTTCTACTCTCTCTGGAAACCAATGGAAAAAAATATCCTCATGTAAAGATTAATGATAACAAAAAAGTGTTAACCCAGGTTATTAAGAGCAAGGGTACCAGTTACTGACCTTAATCCCAACTTTGGTATTTCCTAGCTTTCTGGCCCAGTTACTGACCTTCATTGAGGATGGGTGTGGGTATGATTGATGCCTGGTGCCTGGGCTTGTTGAGAAATAGTGTGTAGAGGGTCCATAATTCCTGCATTAAGTACTTCATGGATAATAGGTGCCAGCACCTTCCAGGGAGCCCCTGTGGCAGTCACAGCAGAGGTGCCCAGGTACAGGGAGAGAAGGGTCCAGAGGGTAGAGTAAGGAGCGTATCCCTAAGCTTGGAATGTGGGGAGTCACCACGACCATGCTGAGGGCTCCACAAGTGAGCCCCCGATGCTGACCGCACCCACTCTGCTGGGCCCCGCCTCTAGGTGCTGTGATAAGCGGTTATGGACCCGCATTGACCTGAACCACTGCAAGTCCATCACGCCCTTGATGCTGAGTGGCATCATCCGGCGACAGCCTGTCTCCCTGGACCTCAGCTGGACCAATATCTCCAAGAAACAGCTGAGTTGGCTCATCAATCGGTTGCCTGGTGAGTGCTTGGCCAGGGACCCCCAATGTGCAGGTGCGGGGCAGGGGCTGGGGTACATCACCTGACCTGCCACCCCTTCTCTGTCCCCCAGGGCTCCGAGACTTGGTGCTGTCGGGCTGCTCGTGGATCGCGGTCTCGGCCCTCTGTAGCTCCAGCTGTCCATTGCTCCGGACCCTGGATGTCCAGTGGGTAGAAGGGCTAAAGGATGCCCAGATGCGGGATCTCCTGTCTCCGCCCACGGATAACCGGCCAGGTGAGCGGCCAGGCCCAGGGCCTGCCCAGGGAGGGCACATGGAGGTGGTGTGACCAAGCTGTGCCGTTGGATCTAGATGTGTAAAGTTTGATGTAGAATCTTCTGATTCTTAAATGTTGGAATTGATTGTGGATTTTATATTTTTTTGGAAAATGCTTGATGGTGAACTGAAACCACTGGTGGTCTCCTAGTGTCCCGTCAGGGTGCTACACTGCCTCTCCCCCCGCCTCCTCAGGTCAGATGGACAATCGGAGCAAGCTCCGGAACATTGTGGAGCTGCGGCTCGCGGGCCTGGACATCACGGACGCCTCCCTGCGCCTCATCATCCGCCACATGCCCCTGCTCTCCAAGCTCCACCTTAGTTACTGTAACCACGTGACCGACCAGTCCATCAACCTGCTCACTGCCGTGGGCACCACCACCCGGGACTCCTTAACTGAAATCAACTTGTCAGGTCAGTTGGGGACACCCATCAAGGACTGCTCAGCACCCCACGGGGCAAGCTAGGAATTTCACATCTGAGTGCCTGCTATTGTAGGGGCCGCATGTTAGATGCTAGGACATACCAGTGATTGAGACAGATATACAGCCTGGTTTAGAGGGGAAACATGTTACAGAAGTTATTACTGGATTTGTCATAATTGCTACCAAAAAAGTACAATTGGTAGCTGAAACCACGCCCCATTGGAGGAGAGCTTGGTGAGCAAGCACAGCCTTCCTTAGGGCACCAGGGGCTGTGCGCTCTCCGTTGCTGAGCGCCGGGTGTTTGGGGCCGCTTTCGTTCTGGCTCCATGCTCCCTCCACCTCACAGTGTCCCCTCTTCCCTGCAGACTGCAATAAGGTTACTGACCAGTGCCTGTCCTTCTTCAAACGCTGTGGCAACATCTGTCACATTGACCTGAGGTACTGCAAGCAAGTCACCAAGGAGGGCTGTGAGCAGTTCATAGCAGAAATGTCTGTGAGTGTCCAGTTTGGGCAGGTGGAAGAAAAACTCCTGCAAAAACTGAGTTAGTCCAAGGACTGGTGTGTAAATATGGGGTGGCTGT